AGGGCTGAAAATTAGAATTTTTAAAAATTATTTAATTTAAATTGTTCTTTTTCAACATTTTACTGTAAAATTATACTTAAAAAAATTTAAAAATCATATTTAAATTCAAATGTTATAAAAATCGATGAAAGAAACAGAATTAATTTACATGTTTGTCATAAAAAATATTAAAGAAAAAATGAAAACGTGACAAAAAAACATCAAAAATCTGTATTTTTACAAATATAGTTTTTTTCTTTTTCAACATTTTACTGTGAAATTATACTTTTTAAAATCCACAAAAAACATCAAGTCACAGAGATCCAGCAAATCTGGTGTAAGCACTGCATTTTTAAAAATGTATATTAAAAAAAGTAATAATAATAATTTAAAAAACAGAATTAATTTCCACGTTAACCATGAAAACCAGCCAAAGTCATAAATAATGTTTGAAATAAAAATCATTTATTATTTGTGAATCCTGGAGTTTCTCAGCGACGACGTTTCTTCCTGCTGCTGGTTTCCGTCGACCTGCAACGACATCAGAAACGTCTCACAGCGATTCAGACCATCAGAATAAATAACAGATAAATAAATGTGATGCGTACAGCGAGCAGCAGCAGAGCGCGGCCACGAGGACGACCACCGCCAGCAGCAGGACCACGAGTCTGAGCAGCAGCTCGCTGAGAGGAGCTGGAAGAGACACGATCTGGTCAATAAGTCAGGTAGATCAGGTAAATCAGGTAGATCAGGTCAATCAGGTCAATCAGGTAGATCAGGTCAATCAGGTAGATCATTAAAGGAGAAGTTCCCTTCGTTCCACTGGAATAAAACACGACGCCGCTGCAGCTAAACGTCTGAATGATGCTCAAACATCAGAGAAACCGATTCCAGGAAACTTGATTTGAACCTGAAAGACGTTGAAAGTCATTAATTCTGCTGCATCGAGGTTGTTTTGGGGGTTTTTTTCAGTTTTTTTGCATCTAAATGTGGGTTTGAATGAACAGCGAGTGAGCGACTCGTCTGCAGACGTTGTTCAGGAACGTTTGAGTCTTCACTTCAAAACAAACGCGTTCAGTTTGTATTAGAAGCTGTTTCAAAACATTAAAAATTAAAAATAAAAAGTCATTCTAAGGAGTAAAAGTGGATTTAATGAAGCTAACGAGTGTCGCGGTCACATCCGGAGAGCAGCAGGAGCTCTGGGAGCTCCAGGATCAGATCAGCTGCTTTTTATGTTCGTGTTTATTTCACAAACTGGAGAACAAATGTAGATTTTTTAAAATTCCTGCCAAATTCAAGTGAGCGACTCAGCCGTCTGCAGACGAGCTCAGATTTATGAGATTTTATGTTATTCAGGAATGTTTTGCTCTTTACTTCAGCGTCTTTAGGAAACAAATGCGTTCAGTTTGTATTAAAACAGAAAAAATGTTAAAAAAAAACAGTCATTCGAAGGAGTAAAAGTGGACTTCATGAAGCTAACCGAGTGTCAAGGCCTCGTTTCAGGTGTCGATGGAGCTGCACAAGTTTAACAAAGTTGATTCATTTACATGTATTTTGTATTAAAAGTTGTTAAAAACTGCTAAAAACAAGTTGTTTAAAGGGAGAAACGGTGGATTAAATCAGCTGAGTCATGTTTACCAGCTCAGGTTTCACAGATTTCTGGTATTCTGGAAGGTTTTTCTCCTTATTTTAGTGTTTTAAAGAAAAAAGAAGAAAATACAGATGAAGTTTGTATTGAAAGTGTTTAAAAAACTCAAAATAAGCTGTTTTAAGGGAGTGAAGACGGATTTAATGAAGCTAACGAGTGTCGCGGTCACATCCGGAGAGCAGCAGGAGGTGATCAAGAACTAGTTCTTCCTCTGAAGTCACCTGAGGGGACGAGGAGGACGGGCCGGCTGGCGGAGGAGAAGTTGGAGGAGAAAGCCCGGAGGCGGTAGACGCAGGCGTACGCCCCCCGGTGGAGGCTTCCTGCAGCAGCAAACGGGAAAGTGGCCGAGTGTCCGACGGCCGGCCGGGTGAAGGTCCGCTCGGCGCCGGAGGAGGTAAAGACGAGCTGGAAGACGCCTCCTGGATACTGAGGCCTGACGGAGCAGGTGATGCTGAAGTTGGAGCCCAGAAGAACCAGAACCTTCTGCTGCTGCTGCTGGACGGCGCCGGTGGGCGAAGAGACGGAGATGCTGGGACGGGCCAGGAGGTCTGGAGGCACAAAGGGAGGCGGTGAGCTCAGACAGAACCAGAACCTGTTTGATGTTTATTATTTATCTTGTAAAAAAAGGTCTTAAATGAGATTTTAAACAAACAGTCAAAACTTCAAACGTGTCTTTCTACAAACAATCATTAAATCCTTTGCAGCAAACACAAAGTTTATTATTATTAAAACCTGAAAAAGTCTCATTTGACAGCTTTTATTATTTGAAAGAAAAATATGTTTATTGAAAAATAACATTTTTTTTAACAAATACTTTACAGATTTTCACAGTTTTGTTAAATCACAGAAAATTAATCTATTTTTATGATGTTAATTTGTACTTTTCCAACATTTTACTGTAAAATTATGCTTGAACTCTATTTAAATAATCAGAAATGTGGTTATTTTACAGATATTTGCTGTTAGTTAAAATAAAACTTTATTATTTTACAGATTGTTAAAGTTTGAAGTTACAGATAACATCCTGTAAAATCACAAAAAGCTGAAACTCTAGAATCTTTTTCAGATGTCTGCCGTCATTTGAAAGAAAACCAAACAGATCAAACTGAACACTGTCCGCATCAGAGAGCTTCTGGGCTTTTGCAGCCCGTCCACAACCCAGCAGCTCCACGCCGGAGGAACCAGACATAACCTGAGTCCTACCTGAGCAGACCACCTGAAGGCTGTGGTAGTGCTCGCCCTCTCCGCCCAGAACCACGCAGCTCAGCAGGGCGGCAGCGGTCCGGAAGCAGGAGGACCTGATCCACCACACGGGCCGGTCCGAGCCGCTGTCGTTCAGGCTCGCTGCCACGGCAGAACCGCAGCCGAGCTGAGAGCAGACGGCCGCCGCCGCCGACCGGCTCCAGGTCCACTCCGAGTCCAGCACCGGCCTCCACTCGCCCTGCAGCCGCATCTGCAGCTCACCTGCACAGGTGCTGCTGTTGCCCACCAGCCTCAGGTGGTCGGGAGCTGAGCAGAGACCAGAGAGTCAGTTCCTCTGTTCCCAAGACGTTCTAACAAGGTTCTGATAATGTTTTCAAAATGTAGAATACCTAAAGATGTTCTACAAACGTTTAGCGCCTGACAAGAACGTTCCTTCTTTCTCTATCATGTAACGTTGTGGGAACGTTCTATCATCTGTTCCCTCAACATACACGCCAGATGTTCCTCCTTTAACATTTAACATTGCAGGAATGTTTTATGATAACATCTGGAAACATTTTTTGAACGTTCCTTCTCTGTTGTCGTAGAACATCGTCCTGACGTTGCCTGAATGTTTTTTTTTCACCTTTTAAAGGAACATTATTGGAAATGAACATTTCCTGAGAACATTCTTTGAACACTTGATTAGTTTTTTTCTCTAAAAACAACGTTGTGGGAACGTATTACAGCCGCTGCCTTACCTGAGCAGGTGAGTGCGACGGCTCTGCCAGGCGAGCAGGTGTCTCTACCTGAGCTGTTACAGCTCAACAGAGCCGACTC